AGTTTGAAACTGTCTTTCGCTATCTTCGAATCTCGAAAGTTTAGACCTATTATAAAGTTATAAAATATCCTTTAAAATGCAGTAGAACTTGCGTGATACTCGCTGGCGCCAACCTAACGGCGATGCGATAAATGTGCGGCCGGGAAAGTGTTAAACATGGGGAAAAATGATTGACGCGACGATTGGCGATGATTGTGGTATCCCTTGCTTCGTAATACTCTCCGTACAGTTTCGTTGGAAACATGTTTCTCATAATTTTGTGAGTTACTGTATTCACGTTCGAGCGCTCGAGCTTCTGACGTTACATTGTAATTACGAACACCGTGACGATCGTACAAGCCAGGAAACATATACTACTACTAATGAATTGGTTTCGATTATACTTCAATTGCACAAAAGAATAACACCAATCCTATACTGTCTGGTTATGTACCGAGTGATTATTACAGACACGCTTCTCGCAATAAACACATGCAATTAGATACTTCTTGTTGCTTCCTAAACAAAGTAACATTTTGCTAATTGCCATTAGCGACAGAATAGATTTCCCGTAGAAAAACCACTCTTTAACACGTTGAATGTCATGGAGGTCACCGGTAACCCCCAACCAAATCGAATTACTATAGTTCATTCAATTAGACAATAATTATTTGAAAACATTTGTATATTACAAATAATGCTACCTAATGCGGTGACATTGAGCAAGATAAGCGTGCAATAATAATAGCGCGATTCAATCAAATTAGTTAATATTATATCTTTTCCATTTTGTGTATTTTGCTCTAGGAAATTGTGCGACGTTCAACGTGTTAACCCCAGATAACTAAACATTCGTCTAAATAGTTTATCCACCTTTGCCACTTATCTGAATTTGACTTCAGAAGTACACCTTTAACGTATCCCACGACTGCAAACGTTACTTTTTAACGCTTTTCTACTTTTTAATTCACTACCAATAATATATGTAATGTTTAATTTGTGGTCTATGAGTCGAATGTTTAGTTACAGAGTGACATTGATTTAAGTTTAGTTATCTAGGGTTAACACTAAAAATACCAAATAATTATTGCTCAACGGCACAATCTACTTATCTACATAAAATGCATGGATTACACTTTTAATTATTTCTTTATACTTTTCGGAGCAGTGAAGTATGTTACTTATAACTTTTGGTGGTTTCTTTCCTGGCGACGACAAGATTCCCGTAGAAGGAGAACTTTCTTATCTATTTTCATAATAGTCCGTTTCGATATCCCAATATAATTTACCGTTCAGACATTTGGTTTGTGCACAGGATGAAATAACTTATTTCTGATTGCTTTCTCGCCACATTTTGTCGAAACTCCCAGCACCATTTCACGAGCTCCACTATGGACGGTTACCCCTGACTTACGTTTACATATTTCAATATTTTAGGTCCAATCAAACACTACAACTTACACCCCTAACACTAAATATTTAACAAAATGAAGGAATTAGTAAACACTATAGCGCACAGTAGCACACCAAAGTTTCTAACACCGTTTTATAAAATGGAACTGTATATTTTAAAACTTCCAATAAAAAATGTAAAGCTTACGAACAAACAGTAATATATAGTGACTTTAGCTGTGTCAGTATATAAAATATACAAGTGATCACACGATCAAGTTGCTCGATATTACTGTTTTTTGTAGATGATGTTTATTATCGATATTTTATTCTCTGACGCAAATATATTTTATCGCTGACTTTTATGTTCTATATGGTCAATGTTCATTTTTGAAGATATAAAACAGGACGTACGGCATTAAAAGGATAATTAAAATTATACAAGAAATAATTCTAGACAGGTATGACAACTCGAATCAGGGCGAATGAAATCGCGCGTAACGAGCGCGCGAACATAGGTCTGAGTCACTGTACCCGAAGTTTCAGGTAAACCAATCTGTTACGAGAAGATGAAACGCTTTTGGCTTCAGATAAATTCGGAATTAGGTAAAATCTGTTGGATGAAGTCACTCACTGTTAGTCGAGGAGTAAATACTAACGTACATACATAGAAAAACGTCACTGGAAACGAATACCAATCGGATCTAATTTTCACATGAATCTTAGCTGGTAATGAACTAGTCGTCAACACAATTACACGGTAATTAATACCGTAAACGAAACACACGGTGGCATACCCCTCTTGTCCCCGTGTCTTGTGACTTATGAGTTGTAACTCGTTAACCCTTTGCGCTTCTATGTCAAGCGTGACTCGACATCAGTTTTATTCACAGGTGTGCTTCTTTGTCAAGATATTTTTAAAATAGACTATATTAGTGTGTTATTTTCAATATTATTAGTAAGAAGAATCGTTCGTATTTCAAATAAAATATCATAATAATACAGAGTTATCCAGGAAAAAATGCAAAAGAAATTCGGAGTGAAAAGGGTTAATAACATGTTTCTATCAGCACGTAGAGTAGATTATACTCAGAATCAAGCCCACCATCATACCCGTTCACTGTCAATTTCAAATCACCGATAATATTTTTAGTGACATTGTCTGTTTAAATATTTCATTTTTATATATTATAGAACTTTTTGATAGTTGAATACAACGTTTTGAGATTAACTAAAAAATTAATTTGACAAAAACAACTGAGGACGTTTCTTAAAGATAAAGAACGTATTTTAATTGCAATAAAAGAAGGCCATCCAGTACGTTACAGTATTATTCGTGAACATCGTGGTCTCTTCGTTTCTTCGTAAACATACTTCGTAAACGACAAAGATAAGTAAACAAGTAACGCATACACACGATATATAATATATTGACTAAAGTATGTCAAATATATTTACCAATAAGCTATAATAACGAACTATATAAACTACACAAAAAGTAACTATAAAAAAAATTATGATAATGTATCATGTGCCAATGCTTTTATGAATGAAATCGTGGCATTAATGTTAGTGAATACGTGACGTGAACAGAATTCGGTGCCGATGAAAACATTGTCGGTAATTTGAGCCGTGCATGTAGTCGATGAATAAATATCATCAGCCAAATAGTTGTCGGTGTAATGACTGTCGCTGCACTATTTGTCGGTGATTTGACACCAACCAGTTATATTACGAAAGGCTCTGAGAGGGAGACCGAATACATAGGTCGCTACTTAAAATTAGTTTATTGGATTGCCGACTGCTCAGTTAATCGTTATGGTTTATTCTATACCTGTGTCTTGACTAATATCTTTTAAATTTCTGCTCTCTGCTCTTTCGTCATTGCGCAACTGTTGTTAGCTTTGTTGCAATAGATCAACTTAGGTCGTTTCCATCGTAACTAGATACGACGTGCCAAAGCTGGAGATATATTGGGAAATGCGAGAGATACCCATCACATTTAATAAATGACAAATATCTAGTCATCCGGGATTAGAAACAGTTTTATAGCAATGGTAAGAATTAAAGGAAACAAACAAGAAATAAGACGTTATTTAAACTTAATTTCAATTCAATATATTAGGCAACAAATCGAGAATAATTTCAATTATGTAGATACAGATTATCTTTTGCAGTTATACTTACTGTTTCCATTAATGTAACCGAAAGAAAACTCATTTTGTACTTTAACCCTTTGCACTCGAAAGTTTTTCACTGGAAATATTCAACATTTTCCGACGATATAGACGCCATTGTTTGAAACGAATTTAACAATAATTCACCGATAAATTAAGCAACAAAGCTATTTTATTTAAATATTTCATATAGCAATACAAAGTTTTATTTAGAATACTAAATATTCAACTTCATAGTTTTGCTGTATCAAATCAAATGGTGATTGAGAGTCACCTCTCGAGTGCAAAGGGTTAATATTCAGATAACGAGAAAAGTCGGAAATGATTCGTTTCCTCGCTAATTGCTATTTGCATGGGGAGTATAGGGATGCGATGTTCAATGTCCTCTTCTGTTACATGAACATCGATTAATCGGTGTGATCTGGAGTAGCGAAGGCAGTGACTGCGCCCTGTTATGGTGCAAAATGTCAAAATGTAATGTAATTTGTTCATAGATGTGAAGGGACGTCCCGAGCGGAAAACAATGTCTTTCTTGTCGTCTTGCAAAATAAATTGCAAACTTCAATGCAATGCTTGTCCCCTGAATATAACTAGGTTTTTCTACAAGACAACAATCTCAAATATATGACTGAGATTGTCAAGGATTGGTTGTTGTATAACAATTCTACAACAATCACACACACCACCCTAATTGCCAGATCCTAATTTGATAGAACATATTTAAGCTGAATTATACAATCGGATAAGAAGAAACGATATTAGAAATATTTATTAAAAATATAAATTGTGCAAGTTATTCAATGACTTTTTGTGACTCTTACAAATGAATATAGGTTTTTCCGAGCAAAATTTTTGTTTTTAAAATCTCTTCTGAAAATATGTAAATATACCAGGCAAACTCAAGGTTATTATGCGTTGGCAAGAAAGCATAAACAATTCAGTGATAACGATCTTTTAGTAAGTGGAAAATAAACAATTTAACATGTTGAATGCCATTAGGATCACCGGTGACCTCCAACTAAATCGATTACAGTTCGCTTAATTAAACGATTATTTGATTATTTGAAAAGATTTCTATATTATAAATAATGCTACCTAATGCGGTGACATTCAGCTAGATCAACGTGCAATAATAATAATAATGCGATTCAATCAAATGATTTAATATTATATTTTTTTCATTCAGTATATTTTACTCTGTGAAATTGTGCGGTATTCAACGTGTTAATGAGTGCACGTAGACTTTTGTAACTGACTGTACATATCACATATTTGCGAGTATCCGAAAAAACTCAAATGGGTCGAGCGAACGCAACGCTGTTGGCTTTGGATAAATTCGGGATCGGATAAAATTGGGCGGGCAGTGTCGGGGTTACATAGTTGAGGAGTGGGGCACGGTTGAACGCATCACTTTGCAGTAGTTATTTACTTAGTTATCCGAATAGTGGAATGTCCGTGCATTCTAGTGCATCTAGTTTTTAAGTATTATACAATAAATATTTCCCTTACCTTTGAGTGGACAAATTGTAATCATAACGACTTTCATTTGGTAAGAAACATTCCGCAATTATTTAGAAATGATTATTAATCAACTAATTCTTGTAATTTAGCAGCAAAAATATGTGAACTCTATAAATAATACAGAGAAATAAACTATCAATTCTCAGTTTTAAACCTGATAAATGGTGTTTAGCGAGAAAAAGTGATTGTTGTATTATCAAGATACTTTTTATTTCAAGATTTTTGTTATCTTATTAGTCTAAATCCGATCATTTTACTACAATTCTAAATATGACAAATTAAAATTGTCATTTGAAAGGAAACATTTAATGGAGAACGTAAGCAATGATCCTTGTACGGTTGAAATTCACAATGTAAGTATGCTTTTCAGAAAGTAATAATTTTTCATTTCTTTTTTCATTTCTATTGATACATTTTTTCTGTAAATTTTTAAAGAGTCTGAACAGGAGTGTAGCTTAGAGAATATTTCACATTGTGATACTTTTGAAATAGTGCAGAAAGAAAAAACGGTTGTTTTATCTAACGCATCTGGTGCCTTCTGGGATTACCCCAAGGACACAGATGCAGATGTGCACTTTCAAACACAGAACGAAAGTATCCTGCGTACCACTTTCAGAGAATAAGTACAGTAAGAATTGATGAGACAATGTTGCAATTCAAATTAGAGAATTACATGGTGATCTTATGATTAATTATTCTCTCACCGATTTCGATGGCTTTTAAATATATTTCATAAGTTGATATCTTCAAAAAGGTTTTTCTTTTTTCAAATTGTTGATCTCTTTCAATTTCCGAAATATTCATATCATATTTATAAAAATCGGATTCAAACTGGCAGGAATTTTGGTAATTATGAATTGAAAGTGTGGGCGGCTTTAAGATATACTGAAATCAGTATTTGCTATCTACATTGAACTCATTTCTATGTATCATAAGAAACGATAACAAAAATTTGAGCGTGGTGCCAACCATAGGATGCCAAAGGAAAACAAACACCAACGATAACTGTGTAATCTAAGAATGGTATTTTTGTTTAATAGGTATAAACAGATCGCCAAGCGCCGAACGTGTCCGCTATGTTTGCGAGTGTCATAAAATACACGTATCAGTCAAATTCAATATGTTAGTCTCAATAATTTTTTGCGTATCTTAGAAACGAAAGCGACGAAGAGCGACATTTTAGTAAAAAGAGAGAATTGTTCCAAATATTAATTTTTACAACAAAAATTATTAAAATCGATGACGCAGTAGTTAAGCTACAAGTTGACCAAATTAACTAAATTTTGTATTTTCTGAGCTTGCAATAGATGAGGAGCAACCATTCAGTATATTGTTCTATATAATTTGAAAATGCATAGTTGCACAGAATGCACGTAATACCAAAAGTATATAAAATATTCAAAATGTAGTAAATACTTCTTATAGTATTCCTTAGAAAAAACTATTGTCTATCGTAATTCTACTTTTTTAACTACATTCTTAAAAATTTGAATTTGCATAAAGATTCGCAGTCTAATGATACATAATCCAAAAACACACTAACGATAACATTTGGTTGTTCAAAGTCAATGCATGCATTAAAATTTTGCAAGGGCGATAATTTAGTTATTCCCATTAAAATGAGACAAATACAGATGTATAGTTACGCTATAAAACTTGCTAACTATTTATAACTATTTATGATCGCAATCACATTTATTTCAAATCCATTATTACAGTCCATTACCAACCTACTCAACTAAATTTGATCGGAACCAAAAGAAACAGCCTCTGAAACAGTCGTCGTGAGTCATAACTACCCTACTAAATCGTTGAAGTGTCAAGCACACCTGGTAACATCAACCCCATAACATTACGACTTCCCGTTTGTGGGGAAGGCCAACGTATGCAGGTCTACGTATTACTGAAAAATTACACGTGTTTCTTTGTTACGCTAAATATTGTGTCATTTCGTTTTATGTTATATAGTCGAACATCGATAACTCGAACTTCTGTAACTAGGAAACCTCTATAATTCGTTAAATTTCTTCAATCCTTTCCGCTCAGCTGTAAAAATCTGTACGACCCGAAATACGAAATCTTTGCATTTACCCAGTGTTTAGTTCTACTATTTAAAATTGTACAATTTTTAGAATTCAAAATTTACTTTTATATAGATACATTACTTATGTAAATATAGATCAAAGTTCTGTTACTGCTACGTCCACACATTTTATAATCTATAAATACTACGTATCCTATAGGATCACAAACCCTACGATAATCTCACAAGATTATTTATAAATCGAGCTTTCCTTTGTTAAATTTCTTTTATTCGAAACTCCATAAGATAAAACATGTATAACTGGAAGATCTTTCGTTTTCCTTAGCGATTCAATTCATAAAAACCATTTCTACCACTGCAAAATTAGTCTGATTGACTAAATATACGGTAAATTGATAAAAATTTGAATGGTGTCATATCTCCAATGGAAGTAACCTGCTAATTTTCTTCCTTCTTCGTAGAGTATATTTTAAAAGGCACGATTATTGAAAAACATGAAACATTTAATGTAATATGAAAACTTGATCGTTTGTTGAAACATTCAATTGTTGGTTATTAGCAATCAGATTTGTTCGTCAAGGATAACAAAAAGGAAATGTGATAGACACTTAAGACACTTGACGTTTACGTAAGTTCTTCCTGGCACTGCGTGTAGACCAGTGCAGGTTCTGTTTTTGGCTAACGTAAGGGGCATTGATTCACTCGGTCACTGTTGAATCATCAACGTCGTCGCGCTTTGCTTTGAAATAGATTAATACATTTTAGTTTTACATTAATTTCATTTCAGTCTTAAGATTTATTTTAATTAGTTTCTCACAGAGTGATTTTCGTCCACTCTTTTGTAAGCACTGAACTACTGTTTCTGGCAGTGAACTATGGTATCAATATTTCCCGAACGTACACTCTTGTTCATAAATCATGAGTTGTAGTTGCTAAATTTTAACAAAATGATTATTAGTAAATTTTATTACATTCATCTAATTTACAGAAACATAAGCACACAAAATTAACCTGTTAACTGTGGAATTTAGTTTGAAAATAAAATCAAAAACTGAAGCACATACTCATCAAATGCAGAACAAATGCACCTAGGGTATATTTTAATGAAAAACCAAAGCAAAGCAAAGAAGAATTACATGGTTACCTAAAAACATAAAGAATTCATCGTTGAAAAAATTAGTATCATTTCAAGCTTTAAGATTACGTGTATACTCGTCAAGCGTAGTTAACTGGTTAATATAGGGTGTTACGTTTAAATGCAAAAGGTTCAATATCTCGTGAGATATGTCGGAGCTCTACTAAAGATATTATTAGATAGATATACGACACCCTGTACGTACGTAGTATGTATTTAATTTAACACCAGCTGGGAGAATCCTATTGAAATTACAAC